CCCCTGGATGTTGGATGTGCTCGTCCGACTCAGGTAAAGAGGCCGCTGTTCCTACTTACGATAAGCATCCAAAAGGGGAGAACGTGGAGTTATCAGTTATCAGTGAGGGTCAGGACTGGATCGACACCTTTGTGGGTCAGGCACTGTGAATGGGAAAAATAATAAACTCGTTGTAATGCATTTGCTTTGGCTTGCAGGGCTGAGAAAAGATGTCATGGAGTTAAGGTCAGAATGTGTGCCCTGGGTGATCCAGTCTTTCCCTCCTGAAAGTGCCTTGGGGAGGAATTTCTCGGAGCTGTCGGTTTATTCAAGAAGGACCTTGTTTGCCTTTGAATACCCACCGCCCTTTGTTTCTGCCTTTCTCTGGTCTACCTGCCCTTCAGATGTGGACGTCATTTCCGTTCTGATCTTATCTCCCACCAGAGGTGAGTGGAGGTGAGAACAGGGGCAGTCTCTTTGTGCTCTACACAATGTCCACCTGGTCCCAACACTTTAGGCCTTGGTACATGGTCGTGGCTCTAAGGAGACAGGAGGTGTTGAATCCTTGCCAGTGGTCGCCCTGGAGGGGCCGGGGGGTGACTCATGAGTTGGGTCCTAGTGTGACCCCACCTCCTGGTTGGCCAGGTTGACATCTGTCGTCACGGCGCACGGTTATCCACGGTGCCTTCCTTTACTTGCAACAAGTCCTCGATGGGACAAGAGAATATCGCCATCCTATTCACAGAAGAAGCAGGTGGCAAAGTGGTCTGCATAGGGGGACCGAGGGAGAAGGAAGGCAGTGGGTGGGTAGTTACCAAGCTCTGTCCCTTCCACAATTCCGCGAAAGGAAGAGGGCTTATTCCAGATCCTCTTGAAAATATGTCGATTGCTGCCTCTCCATCATTTCAGCTCAGTGCCGGCTGGAGCCTCTCAGGACGCCGGGCTACATGCGCGAGGCCCTTGGCTCTGAGGGCCAGCCTAGGCGTCCAACCTCATTGCCCAGTCTTCTCTCCTCTATGACATCATCGCTCTTTCCTCTTGAAGACAAATGCTCTCTGGTTTTCCAGCTTGGTACACTCATCAGCCGATGACATTTGAGAGAACCCAGGAAGTAAAAGGGTTAACAGTGACGCACCAAACGAAGTTAAAGGAAACATGTTGAGAAGGAGCTAGGAAGGTGACAGGTCTCCGGCCCCAGCTTCCCGGGGAGGTCTTCCGGAGGTGGGACAATGACAATGCTGGCGGGAGAGGCTGCTGCTCAGAGAGCTTCAATTGTCCAATAGAAAGGGGCATCCAGGAGCCCTTAAAGGTGTAGCAGCACAGCAGCAGACGGTCCCAGCTGTGGCTGTAGCCGAAATCCCGGCAGAGAGCTGGAGACACAGGCATGCCGAGCCTTCACTCTTCCGGTTGAGCTCTGGCCCTCAGGAAGGGCAGACGGCCCATAGTCACCTGTGGTCACCCTCTGATCAACCCTCAAGCCAGGCCCCTGGGAAGGGTCTGGCCTGAGACTCTCCGTCTTCTCCCTCCTCCAGGGCAAGGTGCTTTCCCCAAGGCTCTGGGCTGGCTGGCTTCACTTCTTGGCCACCAACCATGGACTCTGGCCCTTGAGGAGGCATAGAAAAGGGGAAGGTTGAGGAGGAGCCCTACCAGTGATCGGCACGTGGGGATACCTCTCCGGACCAGGGGGATCCCACAGACCTGGCCGACCCAGGCAGACTCCCGGCGTGGGCCCCCCCTTCCTACCCGCTTTCTTCTGTAGAAATCTCATTTGCCCTCCCTTGACTGGAGAAGCAAGTATGGCCCGGGATTATGCTCAATGGAAGATTGTGCCTGGGATGGCGGGCAAGGCAAGGGGAGGACTGCTTGTCCGCGGGGCCAGCTCCTCCTTCTGTCCTCTGTCCTCCCTCCCTGGCAAACTCTGTCCTCCCTTCATTCTGGCCACACTGGCTGCCACAGAGTCCTCTGGCTGTGCCCTCATTGAGCACTTAGCACATACGTCTTTGCATTGCTGGGCACCCCTGTTAAATCCTGGAGGGCAGGCTGTGTCTCACAGTCCATAGGAGCCCTGGCTTTCCTGCCCCACTGCCTGCACATAGTAGGTGCTTCACCAAGTAGACTGTTAGCTCGGCAGGTCATGGATGTTTATGAACCTTGGCCATGGGAGGGAGGCATTGAGCTAGGTCTCTAGGTGCCTAATGCATTAGACAGTCCCTCCCCTCTAAGAGTTCACTGTCTGGGTTGGAAGACTGACTCTTCCTCCTCCAATAGAAGGCAGAGGAAGAAAAAGACACAGAGTTCTGGGTTGTTCCAAGGAGGGAGACTCACCTAACTTAGGAACCCAGAAACGTCTTCCCAGGGCCCTGGTGGTGAGAGCTGAATTTTGAAAGGTGAGAAAGGACAGCGTTCCCGGCAGAGGACCCGGCGTGGGCAAGGGTGTAGAGAAGAAGCGGAGAATGTGTGTGGGCCGTGTAAGCAGACCCTTGCCGGGGAAGGCCCCACAGTGCTGAGGCTTGTCCCCAGTCCTGCTCGCCTCCGTCTATCCTGTTCTTGGACAGAGGCTTGGGAGTTGCTCAGGGGCAGGCTTTTCTAGGGACCAGGGAGTCACTCTGTGTGTGGAATCCCACCTTAGCGAATGAAACCCGGCTCTCCTTCCCTGTGCCACCCCAACCCCCCCCCCCACCACAGTGAGCAGCAGGCAGCCTCGAAGAAACACCACCTCAAAACTCTGCTCCTTGAAGAACCGAGCAGCCGGCCCCTGCCTGGTCCTGGTCCTTCCTTCTTTCCCTGCCTCCCTCTTTGTGTACGTCCTCTTTTCTGGTTCACTCACCGGCGGCCCACCCTTCTCTTTTCTAGCTTAGGTGCTCGACTCTCAGGGTGCCTTAAAGTGAATCCAGGCGCAGGGCCGGGGCGGGGGGCAGGGGTGGTGTAAGGTCAGGGGTGCAGAGAGCCGGATATGGGGGGAGGCAAGGCGAACCTTACCACGGCAGGACTGTGTCCTTGAGCCTTTGTGGGGCTTTGGGGATCCTCCCTGTGTGCCAGGTAGTTAAACCCCTATAGCTTTGTCTCTGATGAATTTAGCGGTATAGATACCGATGAGAGCAAGCGCCTCTGCGGCCATCCCTGCCCTCCGAGAGCCGACCCCGCTCACCTACCCCACCAGCACAGGGCTGCTTGGGGTCCTCTGCTTAGGGTTATGGAGCACACACATGCAGCACACAGTTTTGCAATGCCAACTCCATGCGTACTACTGTCACAGCCAGATGGCTCTAGGCGGAGGGGGCAGGGAATGCTCCAGTGTCCGGTCCACCCAGGAGCCGACTGGTCAGTGGAATCAGTGGGTTTCAGGGTTGTCAGAGGTCACCTAAGTCAACTCCCTTATTTGACACTCAGGGAAACAGAGAGCAGGAGTAAGGTGCCCCACGCCACATAGTTGACAACGGAGAAAGGACTGGAAGCCGAGCCTCCTGACTTGCTGGCCAGCGCCCTCCCTGTTCAGGGGCTAACCCCAACTCTCCCCGTGTCCTTGGCGCTCCATTCTGCCGGATGAGGTCAGGGGAAGGGAGGCCAGCCCTCGGCCTGGCAGGGAGGAAGCACAGGGGGAGGCTGAGAAGGGGTGAGGTGTGGAGGGAGTCGTTTCTTCCTTAGCGAGGTGGAGGGCTTCCTTTGGCCCACGTGACTGCAGAGGCACAAGTCACTGACCTTGGTGAGAGCGACTATGTGGGCCTAGACCACCCTGTTCCACTGTTAACCATGGGGGGCACCGGGTCAGTCTTCTGGTAAGCCTCCAGGTAGGCAGGGGCGTGAGCCCCAGAAGGCAACAGGTCTCAAGACCCAGCACTTAGTTCCTAGAGAACATTTGCCAGCAGGACTGTAATGGGCTCCGTGGGGCGGGGCTTGGGTGCGCCACTCACTTCCCGGGCAGGCACGTCTCAGCAGGAGGGGCTGCACGTCCCAGGGACGGAGTGTCTTTAACCTCTGTGAACCCTCTCTGGTCACCGGCCCCCGGCACTGCCCTCCCGCAATGCTCCCGCGTCTCGTGCACCTGCTCTGCCGGTGTCAGTCCTGATCTATTCTGCGGACCGCTCGACCATCGGTTTCCCTGCTTCTAACGTCCCCGCACCCCGTGTGACACAGAGATGAGTTGAGTCAAGGTCCCAGGGGGCCCCAGGTGTGCAGCTCGAGGCCCTGCAGGGAGGAGGTCCTGGCTGAGGATACACGAGGCACTGAAGCACGTGAGGGTCAAACCTCAGTGGACGGCCACGCACCGGGGAGGGCAGGGTGGCCCCCGGCCGGTTGTTTCTTTTTGTCTCCGACCACCGGGCAGCTTGCAGTGAAATGTGTGGAGGACCTTCCCCTGCCCATCCAGGGCTCTCCTGCCAACTTATTTCTCCTTGACGCTGACTTTTAAACTTGCCCTAACACATATTTCTAGGCTATTCTCTATGTTCTAGTGAAGGGGATCCCTGTGGTATCAACGGGGGGGGGGGGGGGGGAGTGTAATAAGGAAGCGAACACCAGGATGGACATAAAGTTCGAGGGTTTTCCCTGGGGAGTACTCAGCTCACACAGAAGCTCAGGTTCTGGAGCCTTCCAGTTAATGTTTGACTCTAGCCTGAGGCCATCAGTGGGGTCGGACTGCTCCAACGAGAGCCTGAAAGGGAGTGGGTCTACAGGAACCAGGTTATCCTGATTCCTCAGGACCTCAGTCCGGCCAGGGTGGGAGGAAGTAAATGGAGCGGGTGAGGCGGCCACTCTCTCCGGGAGGATGTGGGCAGGGCAGCGCTCTGACCTTCAGGGCCCGCAGTCCCTTTTATGGCCACAATTACATTTTATGACTGCTCTGGCAGAAAGATGAATATAACCTTGGCTGGATTCATTATTAGACATTCTTTTCTCCCCCCTGAATTGAAAAGAAATGAAAAGGCAAATATTTTCTTAGCTCCTGAAAGTTCCGTGGGGCCGGGCTCGCGGCATTGTGCGTGAAGACGGCGGCCCTGGCTGGGGCTGATAACATCCCGGACTCAGGATCCCTCGGGAAGGGCCACATCCTGGAAGTCTCCCGCCATAGGAATAACGACAGTGCCGGCGGGCGGCGTGGGCCTCTGCCCCGTGGGGAGGGGACAGGCGACCGGTCAGTGACCATGGAGGTCAGCTCCAGGTCTACTTTTCAGTAGCTTCGTTTGCTTTTCAAACGAAGAAGCTGAGATGCAGAGGAGGAAGCGGATTCCCAAAACACATGAGTGGCTGTCTAGAGTAAGAATGTTGATATGGTTGGTCCCCTGGGTCGGGGCAGCCGGTGGTCCCCTTACCACAATGTGGCAAGGGTCCCACGAACGTGAAGCCCCCTAACGTAGCGTTCGTGTGACTGTGCCTACAGCAGCGTGTTATTTTCAAGCCCCGAGGAAGCACCAATGTACGTTGTAAAACATCGAACAGTAAACCTGTGTGCCACACGTAGGGGGTACTTAAGGCAGGTTCCCTGAGACCTCTCCTAAGCCGTGTGCTGTGAACAGAACTCTGTAACCCTCTATTTATTAACAAATAAACACAACTTCGGAGTGCCAGTCTGGCCCAGATTTGTGAGTGTTTTCTGAATGTTCTTTGTCGGAGTGCAATGGCCACGAGGCAAGCTTTCCAGCTGCTAGTGGTGCGTGGGCCTCGCAAATCTGTGTCAAACGAACGGCCACCAACAGCGGTAGCTGTGACTAGTGACTGTCGCTCAAAAGGAAGAAAAACACAAAATCATCAAAAACAAAAACAAAAAACAACAACAACAAAAAAAACCCCCAAGAAACCAAAAGCAGTAACAAATAGCCCTTTGGAGCCCTGGGGATCCTAGAGGGTTTCAGCACAAGTGAATCTGAGATGTTCACATGGCTCTAGAAAGAACTTGGGATATCTTACAATAGACGTTGCTTCAGAGTCCCCTCCCTCCCTCTGTTGGACCTCACAGTTTCATACAGTTGCTGTCTACTTCTGAGGACCCCTGCTTCGGAACTTGCTGCTCTCACAAGAAAGAACGTATTTAATTTAATGATTGATCAGGATCAGGAATTGCCACGTTTAACTTTTTTTAATAATGAAAATCCGTAAGAGCTTAAAATATTCTTGGCAAAAACACCACCGATGTCCACATCCCCGTGAGTCCACACGTAAGCTAGCCAGCACCTTAGTGTTGGCCGGCCCCCTTTGGCACCAGAACACTATAATTTATTAAGCTTCAATACTTAATAAGTGTGCACAAATATCATGCAAACATATGCCCGTACTCACAAACAAAAAGTGTATTAGAGTCGTAGACGTATACAAAACATCTTGTAAACAAAAGGAAAGAGGTTGGCATTTTCTGTACAAAATATGCAAGGTTTTCTTTTTCTTTCTTTTTTTTTTTAATAATAATCTGTAAGATGCATCATACTTCCGGCATTTTCAAAAAGTGAAAACTGTATAAAAATAAATACTCTATGTACAAACACACACACAGGCCAATCCCAGGTTAGAGGCATCACTGCAAAACAAAAACACACAAAACAACGTAGAGTTAGTGTCAGTGGGTCTGCGGGCGTCTACTTCCCCGGTGGGGAAGGAGTGTGCTCTCTGGAGGGCTGAGGGGGCAGCTCTGGAACGGGGCCCCGCGACCCCCTGGGCGGAAGACCCCAGAGCTGTCTGCACCCGGAAGGAAGGCAGAGGCAGGAAATCACTTTCGCCTTCCTGTCACCCCCTTCCTGGCCACTAGAGGGCACTTGCTCTCTATGTGGCCTTTGGGGGCTTGGCTGTTGATGAATTACCGCATCAACCCGGACTGAATTTCTGGTGTGGACCAACAGACAGGAGGCTTTCTAGTTACTTTCCCAAGACACCGTAGCTCTGGACAGTGGCTGTTCTCCCCCTGTCAACCTCAACCACCGCCATCTCCTACCCATCAGCGGCAACCTTGAAGAAGGAAATCTTGGAAACACGTCATTTGACACGTCTCTTCCCCCGCCTGTGGAGTTTTAACTAGGTCTCAAGGGACACACCAAAGGGACGAGGCATGGCTGGAGAGACGGATCCTCGGGGGGGCATCTCCCTCGAAGCTGAGCTTTTCCCTTCTCTGCTCAGGGATGCTTTGGGTACGTGTACTTCACCTTGGGCCTGGTGTCTTGGTGGTTTCACTACCTTTAACTCAATCCCGTGAGCTAAGGAGATTCCGGGCATTTAGCACAGAGGAACCCTTCATCTCATTGTTAAGCGGGCCACTACTGTCCCTGAGACAGGGCTGGGTTAGCTACGCACAAACTCTTGGATACGTTGGGTTCTCCTTTTAGAAGGACAGACCAACACCTGGAGACCACGTAGGGAGGGCTGTGAGAAGTCTCGGTGGGAGCCAGGTGGAGGGTGGCTGCGGAGGGAGGGTGGGCAGCATTGCGGCCGCCACCTTTGCCGAGGACCCGGGTGGGCTTCCGGATTAGTGACCTGATGGCTGTCATCAAGTCAGCACAGAGGAGCCCTGTGCTTTGGGGGCCCGGACTGAGCGGGGTGATTGGGTTCAGGAGCACAGCCCCGTGGTGTTAGACGGTGTTAATGATGCCAACGCCAAGGCTAGCGTGAGCAAATGAAAGCTCGTTGCTGATGGGAATTCTGGGAGCCCAGGAGACGCTGGGCAGCAGGTTCCCCCGTGTGCCAGCAGGAAGCTCTGGCAGCTTAAGTTCAAGGGGAAGGGTAGAGTGGTGAGCCGGTCAGTCTCTACGAGGAGGTATAGAAGCTAAGTGAGTTTGTAGTTCAAGCAACTTAGATTCCCGACATCTGTATAAATGTCATCATGTGGCTTACCTGACCTCGCGTGAACGCTGCGAGAATAGGTGCCGATAACTAATTTTGAAACACGGTCTAGGGGCGCCCTGGGTGGCTCAGTCGGTTAAGCGTCCAACTTTTGATTTCAGCTCAGCTCACAAAGATCCCAGGGTTGTGGGATCACCCTGAGTGTGGAGACCCTCTCTCTGTCCCTTTCCCCGTTCATGCCCTCCCTTTCTCTTTGTCTCTCTCTCTCTCTAAAACACAACAAAACAAAAACAAAAACCCAAAACAAAAAACCCCAAGGTCTAGTAGTCCTCGGAGGAAAGGTGCTGTAGAAATTAACCACACGAAGCATGAAGAGATCGGCTGTGGGGCTACATGGACCCGCCGTACGCTGGGGTCCGCGGATGCCTCAAAAAACATTTTTGAAGGTTCTCTAAGTGCGTGCAGTGAATGGGATGTTTAATGGGCACCCTGCCTTTGGGATCATTCCTTTCTCGACCCATGCCTTGCGGCCTCATCTGCAGAAAGGCCCAGCGTGGAAAGTGTGCGTGCATGATGTCACATGGGAATGGAGCCCCAAGGACCCCTGTGTCCCCCGAGGCACCGCAAACCACCGGGCGGCCTTACCTTGTTCCAACAGCCCTGGACTGGTAAGCCATCTTCGCCCTGCGGGGAGGAAGGAAGGCAGGTGGCTCAGACTCTGGGACAGCCCGGCGAGCAGGCAGGACAGGGGAGCAAGGGCCACAAACACTGTGGCAGCCCGCCTCTTGTCTATCCCTCTCCTCTGCTTCAGGGCAGAGCCTCCGAAATGGGTGGGAGGCAAGCCGGACTTCCCACTGACTAGGGTCACACGCAGTCACCGTGCAAGGCCAAGGGGGGGGGGGCTGCCCTAGCCTGTGGGGTCAGCGAGCAGCGGTGACCTGAGTGTCCTGTTAGGAACAGCCCTCAGCCGCGCAGGTCTCTGCTCTGGCTGTACTGAATGCTAGGTGCTCACAGCTCAGTCATTCAGCGCTTGGAGGCCTGTTTCGTCCTCTGCGAAACCTGGGGAAGGTGCGGTTGTATGAGGTGATCACTAAGGTGTCCCCAGCTCTCCTATGATCTTAGTTTCCTCCCTTCCTGAGCAGCAGGAGGAAGAGATCTAGGCGGTTCCCATCTGTTAATCAATAAGGAGGAGGGCGGGGTGCAAAGAGGCAAGCAACCTCACGGGAATCGCAACATGGTCTCGAGGTGCCTTCAGCAGGGTGACGCTGTCCTCGGGCTCAGCCTCAGCCATTACTGGGAATTTGGGGCCGGGGGCGGAGATGAAGTGGAGGATGGGGATCAACCGTGCCCCGTCTGTCCCCTTTGCCGGTGGCACCCACAGAGCACCTGTAGCCCCAGGACGTCCTGAGGCTTCTCGGGCCCTGATGTCCTGGCCCCCTCTGGCATACCCTGGGGGGAATCTGGAAACTGTGAGACAAGGTGGGAGTGTGAGGCTGAACCGGGGCCTAGATCTGGTCTAGAATTGCAGCCCAGATCCTAGAATTCCACGCTCCAGGGCACAGAAGGATGGACGCAGGGTTTCAGATGACTGGAGCAAGCGGTTAGCCCAGAGGTGGTTGAATGGGAGCCCTCTGTGCCGCAGATCGATTTCATCCACCACGACAGGTGCCTAAACCTCTGGCCTGGCAGGTAGCAGGCAGCCGGCCCGCCGCGGAGGGCAGAAGAAGCCTAGTTATCTCAAACTGAGATAGCTCCCCCTGCCCCCATGTCCACAACGACACAGGGCAGGGGACGGGAAAAGAGCCACGACGAGAAACAAGAAAGGGAAGATATGTACACTTCCCCAGCGGGATTCATAGACAAAGGACACATCGGTATGGGATGTTATTGCAGAAAATGCCACTTTGCATTAAGGACCAAATAAAGATGCCCTTCATTGTCCCCTCTGGGTCAGGGAGGGTCTGCAGGGGGAGGTGGTGCATTCCAGGGCTTCATGGAGACCTGCCCCCTTCCCCAGCCCGCCGTGGTGCGACACTTCACATGGACTCTGGAAGGGAGAGGAGCCTCCGCGGGGCCACGGCGGCATTCCCATTGGCACGTGATGGTGGCAGGGCGACAGAGGAGAGTGGGGCAGGCGGAGGGAGCGTGTGAGAGAGGAGCAGGGTGGCGCGGGCCAGCGGAACTCAAGGTACTCAGGCCACGGAAGGCACGTGGCCGAGAGGAGACCTGGCCGGTGATTAGTGGAGGTGCTCTGGGGGGACCGGGGGTCCTATGGCTGCGTGCTCGGGGGTCATCAGGCCAGGCGGTGGGGAGGTGGGGGCGGTGAGCAGGGGCTTCAGCAGAGGGGTGGGGGGAAGGGGGAGCATGCTACCCTGCAGTCTTCTTTTGTTGTCTATACTGGTCCTAAAAAGTCCGTTCACGGGGCTCCGTGGTCACTTCTCAGGGGCACACAACGTATTTTCCTACAACTTTTTCTCTTCTCTTCAGAGATAATTCTCGTGTGACCCCGGGGTGAGACGTGGGACCTGGAGTCCTCATCTCTTACTTGTATGAAAATAGTTACGTGCACTCTAGACCTCCTGGGGAAGTTTAGGAGGGCGGGAACCTTCTAAGCCAATTGCCTTGGAGTGAGGTGCCGTCCATTTCTCCCTTGCAGCGAGGTGAAAGGGTGGCTATGGGGCTAGGACGTCCCTGCCCGACAGACCCTGAGCCAGGTGTGAGCAGCACTGTGGCCACTCGGCCAGCACATGCGTGGGGAGGGTTCCTAAGAGCCTCCCTGTCTCCCCTCTTCTCTTCCTCAACTACATTCTCGACCTTTCCATTCTCTTCCAGACTTGCCGGTGGTGGGTCATCTGCAGATGAAAGGGAGGGAAGCCAAGCGAGGGTCTTGTAGTGTCTCCCCGGGTTGAAGCAAAAAGGATGACTCGTTCAGTATCTAAAATCCTGACCTTGGACCATCCTTTAGTTCTGGTGGTAGCACCGGGGTAACGACCCCAGAGCCAGCCTGGAAGAACGGGAAGAGTGGCCCCCTCTTCTACCTCAGTTCTAGAACTTCTCAGTCTACCCACGTTTATGAGCATGCCCGTCTGTCCCCGGCCACATCACAAGATGGCGGAACTGGAACGGGTGTGGGACTGGCTCAGGCCTCCCATTCAAATGTTCCGCCTGGGGCTCAGCTGATGCTTGCTGAACCAACCGCAGTGTGTGAAGGAAGAGAAGTCACAGTTGCCAAGAACCTGTCCAGAGGATCTCACCTTCCTGACTTTCTGGGGGCAGGTTTGCCTAGAAGCCCCTAGGAAGGGAGGGTCGGACGCGGGATGGCTCACATTAAGGGGATGTGCTTTTGCAGCAGCTGGAGGAAGAAGCCGAGAAAACATCTGGCAAGCTTTGCGTGCTCCAGGGGGCATGCTTGGAGGCCCTGGGGACCAGCCAGGGCAGGGTGACCCTTAGCGTCTACAGAGAGAAGGGGCAGGAAGTGGAGACCGAGTGGGCAGGAGGCGTGAGGAGGGCGGCTGGAGAGGCATGCGGGCAAGAACCACACACGTGGGGAAGCCTGAGTCGGCCACGCAGGCGAGGGAGGGTGATGCCATACCAATGGGCACGGGGCATCCAGTCCGTCCAGCCCTGGTAACCCCGGCTCCCCTTTCTCTCCTTTAAAACCTCGGTGTCCCTGTTCACAAAACCAACCACGATGATTATTTAGGTTGAGGCCGGCCAGCTCCGACTGTGGAGTGGAGAGGCCCAAGTCTTACCCCAGCCAGGATGCAGGGCCTTGAGGCATCTACGAGCAGGGCCCAAATCCCCGTTGATCCTCCTGTCCCAGATTCAACCTCTGCGCTCTCTTTGGCTGCCACAAGAGCTGAGCCGTGGCACATGTACGACCAGCCCCCTCCCCGTCTGAAGACTGAATTGGAAACAGCGCAGATGAACTTCAAAGGTAGCGTAGCATCGTTTTCAGAGCCATGGATTGTGAAGGCACTTGAGAAGCCCGGCCGACGTGCCACAAATCAGCCCTCAGAAGCCTGTCTGGGGGTGCTTCCCTACCGGTTTTAGCTGGATGGCTAGTGGGCATCGGGAGGCTGTATATTAAGAGCCCCCTTTCTCCGGCCTTGTTCTACCCAGTCTGGGGTATAGATGGCCCCCGGGGGACATGAACCCGGGCGGTCTCCTGCATCCTGACAGAGGATCCCAAAACAGCTTGAACTGCTGGCCACAGAGGGGGCCGTGAAACGAAGAAGGCAAACGAGGGGCTCACAAACGCTACAGCGGCTTCCAAAGCCATGCTGGAGCTCGCGGCCAAGGCCTGCTCCCCAAATCCCTTTCCTCGGGAGCGGGTTCTCATTTGCACATGTCCACTGTTCTACAGCTTTGAAGGAAAGGGGTTCAACCAGAATGACTGCAGCTGTGGTTTGAAGGCAACGCCAACAGCAGGCAGAGTTTCCCTGGCCGAGTGAGCGGATATTTGCCTTCTTGGTTTCAAACTTGGCAAACCTCAAGGAACACACCAGAACAATGCAAGTGATAAAAGAAGACATACCAACGGGCAGGGGGCGTCTAATCCAGGCGCTCCTTGGTCTCCCTTATCCCCTTTAGGCCCTCTAGAGCCTTTCTTCCCCCTCTCCCCCTGTAAATAATGGTTTAGTCCGAGAGAAAAAAATAACATCAAAACTTTAGGATCGTTCCCGTGTTAAGGTTAGAAACAGAAAAAGAAAAAAAGAAAAATCAAAGAGGGAAAATACCGTCTCTTCATTAGGATCTTCTTCCCAGTAGGATTTGAGGCCAGCACCCATCCTTACTCCTCTAGAAACTGGAGACTTTGGTTCAGGCAGGTGGGCAGGGGGCAGGGAAGGAAACTGAGGCCCGGGGACAGGGAGCAGTGGGGCTCAAAGCTGGAGGTGGAGGGGAGTGTCGATGGAATCTACCTGTGGCCAGCGTTGCTAACACCAAGCCCAGAGCGGTCTGTGATGAACAGAGGACCCACTTCCTTCTCTTCGAGGGTCCATTTTTGAAAGGCTTTGACATGGCAACTTTTGTCCCAATTGGTTTTCATCCCTTTGATATTCTATTAGGAGGCAAGATGATTTTATCCAGAACCCTGGGGTATGTGTGTGTGTTTGTGTGTGTGTGTGTGCACATGCGTGTGTGTGAGCGTGTGAAGATGTGCTTGGGCATGCGTGTACACGTGTGTGCATGTACGATTGTGTGCTTGCACATGAGCGTACAAGCGTCCATGTGTACGTGTGTGTCCAGGGCTCATGGTGGCTCCTGGTTCTGTGAGGTCCTCTCATTGTACGTGCGTCTCTGGCCCGTCCTGGGCCGGATCATAGGCAGCTATTTGTATATTTGTATATTGACAGGTTGGTTCAAGGAGCTCATTTGTTTCTGCAAAACTTCCCTAAGCATCCTCTTTCTAAAATTGAACCCCACTTTGTATGCGTCAGGATCACTCTCCATTTAAAAAGGGGCAATGGGGAGTTCTTTAATGACTTTGAGTTTGGATTTTCACATGTTGGGTTTCCTGACAAAGGGGCCGAGTGTGCCCGTGGGGAGCCTTCGTGGGAACGGGTCTCCTCAGCCGCAGAAGGCCGATGGCGTAATGCCTGGGGGCTTCCACTGTGCTCCCCGAGGCGGATAAGACCTTGAAGGCGGGCAGCGCGGGATCAGAGCAAAGGCTTGGAGCCAGAGCGCGTTCTGCTTATTACTAGCAACGTGTCTTGGGGAAGTTACTCAACCTCTCTGAGCCTGTAGAACATGGATAACATGACCTGCTTCAAAACTTTGGTGTGATGTCTTTGTGCACGGTAAGTGCTTAATACTGACACATGGCACGCGCTCAGCCGGTGAGAGTTGCCGCACAATGATGCCAATGACAATTGTTACTTCTTGTTGGCCAGTATTGGAGCCGAGGCTCCGGACACCATCCTGTCACGTCTACTGTGTTCCTGCAGTGGAGGGCTGCAAGGTTCCTCGGAGGGAGGCAAAGGACGAGAATAGTTTTTATGTTTCCCCGAATCTTTGGGAAGTCCGCCCATTTCTTGATTCCAGGGGTTCCCTGTGATGGCCAGTGCACTGGTCTGAGTGAGTTTTCTGAAGTGCAAATACTCACTTGGAAAATGCTGTGTTTAGGAGGGAACATGTATATGCGCATTAGGTGTGACTGTGTTGGCCCTGAGCTATGCCCACCAGTGAGAACATGATGGCGTGAACTGTCCCCGAGCAGTGGACAAGCAAAACCACCGGCTGCTTGGATGGGAAGCCCACGGTCAACTTTCTCAGCAATGTGGTCCCTTATTCACCTTGGGTCAGGTCAGTGTAAAAGTAAACACAGCTTCCCATGTTCAGAGGGTGGGCAAAGCTCCTGAGGGGTTGGCGGGGGTGGGGTTCCAGGTCCCTGATGACTCGCCTCTGGGCAACAGAGGGTCGGCGGTGGTCCTGACTTTCCAGGTGGGCAGCTTGCACCACGGGCGCCATGTTCTAAGGGCCCAGGAAATGGCTTTACAGTGGAGGCCCTCTGGAGATAGTAGAGTGCCAGCTTTACCTACATTTCCCCTGCCTCCCACCCCCAAAGAGTGACAAAAAGAGGCCCTGGCAAAGAGGGGGTTCTAGATGGGGAAAGGGCAAGTTAAAGTCGAGGAGCAGAGGTTTCTGTAAAATATAGGGATGCATGAATTGACCTGAGAAGAAATAAATTGCAGCTGGGAGAGTGGAAAGAAAAGGATGAAGGGTATGGGGTTATGGTAATGGGGTGGACATGTTGGGCGGGGGGGAGAGATACTGAAGGAGTGAAGGAAGGAAGTGTCCAGCCCGGGCCAAAAGAGATAATGGAGGAAGGAGAGGTAAGGAGGCAAGGGGACCTGGGGGAGCAGGCCGCTCGCACGCACAAGCACATGCACACCCAGACGGCGCGTCCCGCAGTGACCGCTGCCTCCCCGCGTGCACGCAGACCTTCCGGCTGGCTGGCTGGCAGGCAGTCCCACCGCGGCACCCAATTTTCCTGACGCCAGATTGCCAAATTCGTGCCACCTTTTTCATCCTAAACGTGGCTCCTGGGCCCAGTGCACGAGGCCGCTAAAGGCCGAGAAGAGTACCGTCTCTTGCGACAAGGACAGAACATTCTTTCCGTTGCCCTTTGTGTCCGTCCCCCTTAGGAAAGTGCCTGTTTGGGGCTCTGGGCCTTGCCGGCTACTGCGAGGACCTTCTTCCTTCCACGAACAGGAAAGAGGCTCCAAGGCCGTTGCCTGGTGGGACACAGGCAAGCCTAGTTTTAAGATGGCGCCTTGGTTCACCGTAAGTCAGAGCAACAGGCTTGCGGTGCAGCGACCGGGGGCCTCTCGGAGGCCCAGGCATGATGTGTGGCGAAGTCTGAGAGCTACCTCAGGTAGCCACCCTCTCCTACGGGGGTGGGGGGGGGGCGGGGCTTGGAACACCTGCAGCTTCACCTTCATGAGCAACAGTGGGGCTTCTAACTAGAATGTCATCTAAGCCCCTCTGGGCTTTTCCCTTGACCGAAGTGTCAATACTCTGAGCTGCAAGCCTAAGGGAAAAAAACTGTCCATGGCAAAGCATTGACTGTGCTTGGAACTTCCTTTGCTTTGAAGGCTTTATCACCAAGCCTCTACATCTCTCCCCAAAGGTCCATTAGGGTCTGGGGTAGAAAGAGGTCTGTCTGAGGAGGTGAGATGTAGGGGGAGCTCTTCCAGCACATTCTGGCATCCCGAGAGTCAGATCTCTTGAATAGAGGACACAAGCTGTTCCTTGATTCAGAGACCCGCTCTTCGGAATAAGTCAGTTGTCCTGTACAGTATGCTCGAAAGCGGGTTTGTGCAACTTGACCGTTTGCCGGACTTGACTTTTACTAAGTGGCATATTGCTAATTTACGGGTGGGGCAGGGGAAAGTGTGTAAAACTTTTAGCTAGGAAGGAGTCGTGGAGAAGAAATATTCTCCCGTGGATTCCTGGGACCTCACTGGCGCATTCAGCAACCCCAGTCCCTGACATCAGCACCTCCAGCCTCCTGCCACCCCTCCAGCTGGGACAAGGGCATCTTTCTGCCTGTCTCCACGTCTAGGGCAACACGATCACTGCCACCGGAGGACTGGCTTTGCAGCCTCCAAATGGCTCACTGCCTCAAGCCAACTGGAAAAGTCTTAAGAAATCGTTCAAAAAGTATTAATTGAGTATGGCAAAGACAACCAGAGCACTGTAGAAATAAATTAGAAAGGGAATTAGTGTGCCAGCTAAGAGGTGGAATGATCAATTTTTTTTTGGTGGTCACAGTCAGGAAGGTGGGCTTCCCAGCCTGCCTGAACAGCCAGCACATTTCTGGAAGTAGGTCTGTTTCTTCTGGTGATTTCTAGACTTGGTTTCCTGCGGACAGTTTGGTAGGGGTCCCTCTGCCTGCGTCCTCTTACTTATAGAGGCCACAGAACAAATTGAGTTGCTTTTGACCCGCTGCCAGAAAGGACAATTTAGGGATAGAAGGAGTTCAGTAAATACACCTTGAGTTGAAATGACAGGATATAAGATATAAGCAAGATATAAGCATACAGATTCTGGCACTTTCTAGCCATGAACACGGTTATCAGTGCTCGAAGATCAGCCAGAAGACCAGCGTTTGAAAGCTATCTGCTGTGCCTCTGTCTGCGTGAGCTCAGTATATTTTGTCGTGATTCTGGCCTGTTCTCCATCCGTTCCCCCACTCATTCTCGTCTACCTCTAAGACCCTTGGATATTATGACCCACTAGAAGATGCGCTTGGGCCTCTAAGAGCTGTGTGCCACACTCCGAGAACCACTGGGAGGAAACAGCAGATGAGACGTTCTATGAAGGGACCCGGTGGCCATCTCTCGGTCGGATGTAGTTAAATGGTCCCTGCTGGGCCCAGAGGCGTCTTGTGTCATCCACCGTGTACGATCATATGGCCATGGGTGCTGTGGACATTCAGTAATTGTGTCCTGCTGATGACGGCAGAAACCAAAGGGACAGCAAAGGACCTCGGGAGGTGCAATTCATTTCATGGTCCTGCTGACTTTTTCCAAGAGAAATAATGGCTGTGATGATGTTTTAAAGGGTTGGCTGCTTACAACAGCTGTCTGCTTGTGCTTGGAACTGGAATTTATTTCTTTCTCACCAGTGGCCTGGGACGCCTGGCGAAACTAAGTTTCAGAAAATACCATTTAGGGGTCCGTTATCAGGGCACCCTAGGGAGAGCTGGGCACGTGACTCCCGTTGCTGGATGGCAATGCTAATCTGATGGCCACCCTGGGATTCAGTCTCCCCTTGTCTTGTGGAAAAAATCCATGCTTCTATTTCAGGATTAGGCCTCAGGCTGCCTGCGTGCTACACAGTGAGCCCCTCGCTATAAAGCCTTTTAATTCAGGATGATTTGCCAGGAAAAACTGTATCTGCCCATGTTTGGGTCAGGAATCCCCAATTGATCATTCCACCACATCATGAAGACATTAGTAAGCAGAGCCAGAGTGCAAAGGCTCAGACTCACCCGGTTTCCTTTGTCCCCGGGTGGTCCATGTAAACCCTGTAATAAATCGCACAAACGAAGATGCGTTAATGAGAAAAGGCAGGATGGCCATCCCGTCCTTCCTTCCAGGATCATAAAGGTCTTCACTGATGTCTGATTCATCAGAGACAGGCTTCATTATCCCCATTTTACAGAAGGGGGACAAAGGGGCTTGACCTAGAGACAAATAATGAGTGATGGGCAAAGCCAAGAACACGGTCCTGGTTTTCTCTCGCTGCAGCCGAGCCCCGGGCCGGCGGCTCTATTCTTCTAGCTCACTCGTGCTAATGAGTGCCAGGTGCTGAGGACACGGCCTGGACACAGAGAACTCTCCTGGCAGAAGAGGTGTTTGCATGGCTCTCCCGCCAGGCTCTTGCTAGAGAAATGACCCCAAAGCTGCTCATACCGTCTTTTCAAGGCACAGGCTGTTCTCCATTGTCTTTAGCTAGGGGAACGGCACAAGGCAAGGACCGGCCAGGGTTAGCCCGAGCAAAGCTGCCTGGGCATGGAACTGGTGAACAGAGGTACCACCTCCCACCTTCCAGTGGGTGGGAAACAAAGGTCCTGGCTCTCTTGGGCGACCAACTTTTAGAACAACCCAACGGGAAAATCTGCCGTAATTGGGAAGGCTGTCTCTTGGGAGAGTCGCCCCTCTCATGAAACCTCTCCCTCTGGCATTACGATGTTGTGGATTTGATTCTGCCCCTCCTCGACGGCAGGGGCCGCTGACACATTCGTCTGTGAGGCCCCCACTGCACGGAACACAGAGGCTTGCAGCAGGAGGGGCTCGTATGCGTTTGCCTCATGCCTGAGGACCTGAGGCCCAACAGGGGCCACGCGTCCCAAGCACTGCCTCGAGCAGTGCCCGGCAGGGAAGTTCCACGGCCAGTTGGCTGTTGGCAGCCTCCTCTGTCACAGAAATCAGCGTTCTGGCTTAGCTCTGGATGTCTGCTCCGGGCTCTGGGTTTTCTGTTGTGACGATGGCTCTGTTGGGGGTAGGGACGGGCGGAGAGAAACTTCCCGTCCCGCGACACTTACAGGAAGCCCAGCCGCTCCTGATGGTCCTGTCATCCCAAGGTCGCCTTTGCTGCCCTGAAACAGGAGAGAGAAACCCATGAGCCCTCCCTGACGGGGCAACAACCTTCCATCAACCGTTTTCTGTTTTTGTGTGAAACCCAGGAAACCTCTCCAGTCCCCTCAAAGAGCCGTCACTGCAAAGCAAGGGCTGAGCGGAGGGCTTGACTGGTGTGGACTGTGCCTCGGCACCTCCCTCCCTCCAGCAGAGTCCATCCCCCGAGGCCCTCTGGAAAGACCGGACACTGTCCTGAAGGTAGTTGCTGGCCCTCAAGCAGAAGCCGGGGAGGGGAACAAGAAGCAGGACATGAGCATGGACAGCGAAGGTGGGGAAGAGGCAAAGAGCTTTGATTTCTTCTTTGAAGCCACAACTGTCCCCTCTGAGAGCAGCCATCCTGGTTCCCAAAGTGGCTGTGATCTCAGGGAAGCCTGTGACCTAGGGAGGAAGTCTAGTGTCCCAGCGGCTCTCCGGTGACCCGCCCTACGCGGGCCTGGTTGGGGAAGAGCTGACGGACGGGACGGGCAGCCCTCCTCGTCCCCTGAGCCGAGCCCCCCACTGGCACCGCACATGCCCACTCCTCCGGCTGCGGCTGGGAGACGTGACTGTGGGAGCTGGCCTGACGCCCGTCTTCCTGACTGCCAGGATTTTCTTATGCCACCTGGCACTCCGTTCTATGCTGTCTTCCTCAATCATACAGGGTTTAGGTGTGTCTGGTCCCAGCAGCACCGGGGACCTTGCCAGACTGAGCCTGTGACTAATGCCAGGTGACTAGGAGCCTAGCACGGGAAGCTGTCCGTCTGTCCGCTCACAGCTATAAAGTGAGCAACCCAGGCCGGCCGGCTCCCCCACGGGCTGCTGTGAAGGTCACTGGGAGAGGACAAGGAGGTACCGGCTGCTCCAGGAGGAATGGGTGGGGGCTAAGGACCCGCGGCTGAGCCCGGGCCGGGGCGCTGGCCCCCTCCTGGTGTTCACACTCGCTGCCCCTGGTGTGCAGACCACCCCCCTGGTGTGCAGGGTTCCCGAGCGCTCACCCTCTCGCCCTTTGGTCCCGCTGGGCCTGGAACTCCGACTGGTCCTGGAGTACCCTGGGGAGGCGAAAGAAAGCAGACGTGAGGGGGCCGGTGCCAGGGGGAGCCCCGGGAGCCCCGCCCGGCGCTGGAGATGAGCAAGGTCCAGAGGCCCATTTTCAGGGTTGGCGAGGCCAGGCTCGTTCAGGGCAGTCATTCGACTGGGGCGGGTTCCTGTTTGGGTGGGGGGCCTCGGGGAGAGAGGCGTCCCCCTGCCTCAGAGCCAGATTTGAGGGGGGAAACCCTTTCGCTTCACCACCAAGCTTGCCAAGGCTGAAAACGGTAGAACTGTTGCTTAGTTTGCTCCCTGAAGCGCTTGGGAGGGGTGGGTGCCATCCCCGGGGTGGGGGCGCGGGCTGGCACCTGCTTGCCGTCGCAGCTCCACATGCAGCGGGAGGCGCTTCATGCCACAGAGACCGATGCAGACGCACACACAGAGGCAGGCGCGGGAGGGTCGTTCAGCCACCGCTTAGCCCACCCGCCCCACCGCCCCGGCCTCCCGCCTCCGGCCGGGCCTCTGCACCCGCTCCCAGGCCCCGCGGGGCAGGCTGCACCGGACAGTGAAGCAGTGTGCCTCGGACGGGTGCCAGCGCTGGCCTGGCCGGGAGATGTGCCCTGCTGGCTCCCGAATCGGGGCTGCCGGGGGGTGGGGGCGGGGCTGGCCGTGACACAATTATCTTCGCCAGTTTCCACCCGGACTGGACGAAGTGTGCATCTCAGAGCTTTCCTGTTGCTCGGCCTCGGTGTTTAGATTTCCTGCTCAGACAAGGACTTGAGGACGAGGGGCTGGCCTGTGCGCGGCTTTCTGGGGCACGAGCCATTGGGGAAACGCTGACTGACCTCACGCGGAAAAGAAAAAGAGCGCTAAGACGTTCTCGGTGCCCCCTTTGCAACTACGGGGGGAGGACTGGGCAGGTGGCACAAGGGCGCCTCAAAAATGAAGGGGCCCCGATCAGGCTCAGAACGGCACTCCGGGGTCCCTGGCCTGCTTCAAGTCAAGCCTCTCAGGCCTTTCAGCTCTGCGATATTGGAGACGTTTCTCGGGCTCTCTGAGGGTCCGTTTTCTTCCCTGTGAAATGGGGATGATGATACGAGTATCTGCTTTTGAGGCCCCTGCCCATTAAAACGGTTGAATGTATGTCACGCATTCGGCACCAATAAATGTCAGTATTGGCTGGGCAGGGTTATTTGCCCCATAAAACTTTTCCTTTAAGGTTGTGATATTGATTTAATGAGGGAAAATAAAACCTGGGGCCCAAAGGGGACAGCATCTCTGAATTTGCACTGCTCCCCCGTCCGTCCAGGAAGAACGGAGCGCGTCGTGAGGACGGTTTTGCTTTCTCTGATTCCAGCCACAGATCATCCCCCTCGCCTGACGGGCCACCTGGGGAAGGTGCGCTAGGCGTGAGGAGGATGAAAAGGGAGGGACTGGGGAGGAGCGAAGCCGGAATGATGCCTGGAAAAGAGGTCTAGTCTCCGTATGGGAGCAGGTATAGTGTCGCCTCCGTAACCGCATGGTGGAGGGGGGCTCTGGAAGGGCCGTGGTCTCGGCTGAGCCACGTCACCGCCTCCGCTTGGTGAGGACACGTGCACTAGGACGAGGCTCTGCGGCTCCTTCTCGAAGCTCTGGGCTCCCACTGCACCAGCTGTGAGGTCCACCTCCAGGGCCCCGAGAAGGCCCACTGTTGCCTTTGTGCTTTTGACATCGGCCTGTACCCCAAGTGGATATCCTGCACCTCCACAAATGAAAGCCTGCAAACTCGCTTTCCCCTGAGGGCCATTCCAGCCAGCTCATTAGAACCTCGACTTCTAGGCAGACCATGCAGCCGTGGCCTCACAAGTGTCCCGCAAAGGCAGGGCGGGGACTCCCTGGCTGGAAGGGGCTGGGCGTACCCACAGCTCTGGTGACGGCTCCCGGGCAGGGAAGTTCAGCCTCCTGGCCCTCGGTGGTCAGTGATCCCTATACCCTGGGAAGGTGACAGGCTTCAGTGGGAAAGCCACTTCCCTAAAGACCTCCCGGGGTGCTCTGGGAGGGGCCTGGCAGGTGGAGAGGAGAGGAGAGACTCTTTTTCTGATGCTTCAGCTGTTTGTCACGAGAAGAAGGGCCAGGCGCTTTCTAGTCATGAGTAGTGATGCCTGTTTTCTGGAATCAGAAAAGAATGAAGAGGGGACCCGAATGTTCCTGACTTGCTCTGCATAAGCCCCCTGTTGAATCGCGGGGCCGCTGCGGCACCACAGGAAGTGGCTATAACATGCCTGCCGAACACTGAGCTGGGACCGTCCCACGTGATCCTAGATGCTACACCTGTCCTCACCCCAGGACACTCCACAGGGGCTGCACAGGACTAGGAAGCCCTTGTGGGCAGACAGGAGATGGACAGAGCTCACAGCATGAAGACAACACGGCATGACAGGCACATACAGACACTGTTGTGTTTGGTGGGCGTAAGTCAGGGTCCCGACCCCTGGGGCTGGGCTCCCAGGCTGCACTCGGCCCTCCGCGAGAAACAGAGTCTATGCCGCTGGAGCAGACTTCCACCCCGTGCCCGGCAGTCAGGAAATTCAGATTTGAGGACCCTGGGTTCACACGATGGCCGGGGGAATTCAGACGAAGGCCAATCCGTCTTTGGCCGAGAGACCCGAATAAGCGTTTCTGAACTGAGTGCAGACGGTACCTTTCTGGTGTTGGTGGCGGGATGAGGCATGACTCACGGGGAAAACGAGGCCACAGCGGGACAGGGACAGACGAGAGGGGTCACAGGCCGGGGGTGGGGTGGGGTGGGATGACGGGTAACGGAGAAGCGACACTCACCGGTGGCCCAGGCCTGCCGTCCAAACCTGAAGCTCCCTGGACGAAGGGAACAGTTTGACCAAGAAAAGGGGAGGGGAGGAACGGGAGGGAGAAAAAGGGACCGGGGAGGGAAGAGGTGAGTGAAGCAGTGACTCTGGACAGACACAAATGCTGGCAATCAAACAAAACGGGAGAAATAGGCTTGGGAGGACAGGTAATGGTATTCACACGGAAACCAACAAAAACGGACACTGGGTGCAGTGTGGCCGACCGCTGAGCAGGCCGGTGGAGATCCGTGCAGATAGCTGTTCTGATCCTGTTATCCCCTCTCAGAAACCCCTCTCCCAGGGGCTTCCAGTGCCCCGGAGAAAGGGACGCAGAAAGAGAATTCGTGGGAAGGTGTCTGGAACCAGAGGTAGTGCATCCCTTCCCCAGGACCAGTCTCACCGCAGATGGACAAGCCTGTGTGGACGGTGGGTTGTCTTCCCAGCGTCTTTGGCACAGCTGCTGAGACCAGGCCATGCTGGGGAACCCTGAGGAAATCAGTACTAAGTTGGGAACCTGGGGGAGAAGCCAGCCTGCTTCTGCTCCAGCGTTGGGGCTCGGATGTTAGTGCTAACGATGCCTGACCTTTCTCTGGCACTGCAGTTTGCAAGACTCAGCACGAACTCGATCCTTTCGTGTTGTCCCAAACAAGGGCCCTTTTATAGAAGAAGGCTTTGGGGGCAGCTGACTGCGACAAAGGTCTAAGGCCACGTACGCCCTGGAGTAAACTGGCTGGCGGGCGGGATGCTATTAAGACCATTTGCAATGCAGCATCCAGTGATATATGAGAGGGGAATAGGCTGGGAAGCTGCCCCTGAGACCCACCTAGAAAAACCAGGGGGAAATTTGTCTAATGACTCCAATGTGACAAACCACAGAGAAGGCAGTGGAGACACTCTGGCCCCGTAAGGACTGAGTTCTTAAAAACTGCTTCCAGCAGTTCAGAAATGAGCCTAGGCCAGGGTGCCTGGGTGGCTCAGTTGGTCAAGTGTCCGACTTCCGCTCAGGTCATGATCTCGCGGTCCATGAGCTCGAGCCCCGGGTCGGGCTCTGGGGTGACAGCTCAGAGCCTGGAGCCTGCTTCGGATTCTGTGTCTTCCTCTCTCTCTGCCCCTCCCCCCACTTGTGCCCTGTCTCTCTCTCTCCCTCAAAAATAAATAAACATTTAAAACATTAAAAAAAAAAAAAGGAAAAAGAAATGCGCCTAGGCCTCAGGATTGTACGGCGGGGCGATGCCCCCCCCCCCAAGGAAGGGCAGGGGAAAGGGTGCTGGGTAGTAGGGTCCTCCGGGGACTTCCTTCTCAGTATTAGAATCACAAAAGTTCCAGGATGATCTTGACTCACAGCCTAGAAAGCTGTGGTTCTCAACCCCACTGCCACATGAGAATTTCCTGGGGGAACATGTCAAATAATACAGATGCTTGGGTCCCACCCCACCCCAACTCAACCAGAGTCTCCAAGAATGAGGCTGGGAGTAATGGCATGTTTGGAAAGCTCCAGGCAACTCCAGTGTGTAGCCAGCCCTGAGAACCACTTCTGTAGGGCAAACAGGAGGAACTGAATAGGATGTCCTAGAAAAGCAGACTCCTACCATATGGCATACAATACTGCGGTGAAGCCAAAAATCAGAGCTTTCGCTAAATACTGAGTTATCTTGAGAGATCTGGAGCAGTGGACACAGACTGGAGGTTTTCAGGGCATATGTGGGCCACTGACATATTTTGCACAATCTGCAGAGTTGCAAGGAATTTTGACTTCACGTTAGAAAATGGGGAGATTTCGTGTAAAATGCCAGCTGTCCAGCTTCCTTTGAAAAATGAGACTATCCAGAATACTGGACCCTCATTCCCCCAAGGCGACAGTCAGCTGAACTGAGGAGGGACGGCTTTCCTTAAGAAGAGACCCATGGTCTCCAGTGGGCCACAGTCCCCACTCCTCCCTATTGTATCTCCGAAGGCCCCGTCTGTTGCCAGCTGTGAATATGCTTGCTCTGTTGTTTTCCTAAGCTAGCAAAAGTATTTCCCTGTGCCCGTTTCGCTATTGAAAGTTGACAGGTTGGGGGTGCCTGGGTGGCGCAGTCGGGTAAGCGTCCGACTTCAGCCAGGTCACGATCTCGCGGTCCGTGAGTTCGAGCCCCGCGTCAGGCTCTGGGCTGATGGCTCGGAGCCTGGAGCCTGTTTCCGATTCTGTGTCTCCCTCTCTCTCTGCCCCTCCCCCGTTCATGCTCTGTCTCTCTCTGTCCCAAAAATAAATAAATGTTGGGAAAAAAAAAATTAAAAAAAAAAGAAAGTTGACAGGTTGAAGGTAGACTGGCACTTTGTCTTTCCTCTGGCACTTTCTTTGTTTATACAACCTGTTTGGTCTCTGTGCCGTTTGCATTGCAACCCCTGGCTCCAGTCCCCAGTGTTCACTAGGGTGTTGGGGCCATGAAGGCGGGCAAGGAGAGATCTGTGGTTGAGCGGGGGCAGGAAGGCTCTTTAACAGTAAGGAGCACTTAACCATGCCGGACATAGCCTGAGACACAGGAAAACGTCTGTTCAAGTCATCAGTTTTCTTTCAGGTACATCGGCTCCTTCCTTAAATGGTCCTACATTTGATGCGCTAATGAGCGTGGAATCATACCTTTCGCTCTTGCTGTTTGGTTGCTGTGATTATATTAATCAGACCTTCGAGCCCTGCCAAGCTGGGGTAACTGGGTTTCTCTTTGTTGGAGAACAAAGCTGTTCTTTCCGGCTTCCCGGGGTGGGAACTGGCCTTGTGCCTGGGACGGAGGAAGCCCCAGTGGCTGGAATGGCCTCGAGAAGGGGCAGCCTCTGGCGTGGCCTGACCACTGACTTCACATATGCCATCAAGTGACGCTCTTTCTTCTCTGGGGCCATCAGTAAAATGAGGAGATGGGCCGCGAATGACCATGCTAGCTCTAGAAAACCAAGCCACGAAGAGTGCCAGCCCCTCTGGGGTGTGAGGGAGGATGAAGCCCAGGGCTCCAGGGAGGGCGAGGCGGTGACAAGGCCATGAGCCCCCTGGAGTTTGGGACAAAAGATTCGCCCAGGCCGGGCCCCACGTCTGGAACTGTAGATGCCTCCCAAGCGGCCCCTCGCCCTGACCTGGGATCTGATCTCAGGGCAGGCTGCGACGAGAGATCTGAAAGGCCTTAGCCTGCTGGGACCAGAGAATCTGCCTTTGTACAGGCTTTTCTGCCGTGGCCAGTGCTTAAGAGCAGAGAGTGGGGGCTCTGCTCGGGTCTCCGTAGGAAAATAAGAGAGAGACGAAGACGTTTCACTGTCTCCTTGCCCCCGGGTCCTTCACGCTGGGCTCCCAGGAAGGCAGAGCTTTACTGCCTCTGAATCAGGCACATGTAGGCCAGAGGCTGTTCTCAGGCTGTTCTGTGGCTCTCCAGCTGGGTGCTCCTTGGGGGGGGGGGGTGTCATATGTAGCTGTCTATTCCCCCCACACCCAGGCCAGGACCTGGCCCAGAGGGAGCCCTCGGTAAGGGAATTAGAGGCTATGACCTCGCCCGGGGTAGGAAAGCAAAACCACGCGGAGTTCAGGGATGCTCAGAGCTTGGGAACCTGCAGCAGTGTTCTCCTGGGGTCCCGTACACCACCCGGCCTCCTCAGGACCACCCGGCTGGGCTCCTCACGGTGCTGCTGGCTCTGAGATACTTACGGGTAATCCCAGCGGCCCTCGGTCTCCTTTCTCTCCCTGGACACCCTTCTCTCCTTTTGCTCCATCCAGTCCCGCTTCCCCCTGAAGGAAAGGGAGGGGGGAAGATCACAGATGGGGCACGTCTCAGCCACCTCAGTCTTGCGTTCTGGGATCCTGGAGGGTGGGGTGGGTTGGGGACATGAGGGCAGGTAGAGGATGAAGGAGGGAGGCGGTGGAGGTGGCTGGCCCAGGGATGGCAGGCTGGAGACTCCAGGAGTCCTTGAATTCCTAGCCTGACTCTCCCTCAGTTCGAGTCCTCAGTATGCCTGTGGTGACTGGGAGGTCCCCCTAAGAAAAGGGGGTGGAGTGGACACAAGCCCACAGGGCAATTCCAGGTGGGGCTTGGGCCTAAGTGACCACTTGTATAGCAGCAAAAGTGGGGCCCTCCAGACACTGGCAGGTGCCTGAAATGCCAGCATGGGAACCCCGAGGCTTGCGAACTAACTGGGACAAGAAATTGCCCAACAGTCCCCTGAAGTATACTGGGGCAGGAAGTAAGGGCCAGTAGGCCATCAGCGCCCAGCCCCTCTTACCCAGTTGGAATGCTTTTAAGTGGGGAGCCTGGGAGACCTCCAGGCTAGAGACCAGTGGGTTTGGACCCGGGGAGGGGGCCCACACTACACCCCTCTCTGTCTCCCACCCAAACTTCAAGGAGAGTGAAGGATCTGGGGTGGGTCACACGGAAAGGGATTTCATCATCTGCTAGGAATCTACCCTGTCACTCACTGGGTGGATTAATGGATGGGAAAATTCTAAATCCAAAGCCTGCCCAGTGTCAATGATGGATGTGAAAAGGACTGTAGGACTTCATTCTGTCCTGATTGTAGCCACTGGCTAGAGGGCCACGCGATTCCATTTAGGGAGGGGGTCAGCTGGGCCACCTGTCTCTGAAGGACTTTCTTCCTTTGCAGCCCTCACCGGCACCCCCCGCCCCTTCCCCTGCTCCAGCACTTGTCACGTGACCTCTTCTTACCTTTGGTCCAGGAACACCTTGGAGTCCCTGCATTTGGAAGCAAAACAGGGGTGTCTCAGAACTGCATTTCTGGTTAAGTCAAAAATACCTTGTCCACAAGTTGGACCACAAAAGAGCAAGGGCCTGGGGTCCCTGCCCAGGGGAAGCAGAGGGGATGCTAAAGGGGTTTGTGCTTGGGCCTCCCTGGGGTGGGGTCTGATCCAGGCTCCCCAGCCAGGGACTGACAGTCTCTCTGTAACCCCCACAGCTGACCTAGAGTCTCACGAAGGGAAGATTTGGAAGGAACACAGCAAAAGTGGAATAAATTAACATATGCAAAGTGTTTGGAGCAGTGTTTGGCACACAATAAGTCTCAAGAAATGTTGGCTACTCTCATCATTACTACTCTTACTTCTGCCGGTGACAATGGGTGACACAGTGCCCTGGGGACTGTGAACCCCACAGAGGAAGGACCAGCATCTGTTGGTTGAGGATGCTTGGGGACCTTATAAAGGCCTCATCTTATCACCTGTAACCATGGAAAGGCCGATCCACTGGGGCTGGTCTTAAATCACTGTCTCTATTAATCTAGATCATTTTGCTGGCCAGATAGCAGAAAGAGGAAGCAGGAGAGCAGACGCCTGATGGCGAAGGGCAGAGCTTAGTGACAGAGGGACTCCTGCAGGGCCGTGGGACCAGACCCCAAGGCCGCCCGGCCACTCAACTATTTCCGGGAAACCCGGCAACACCCAGGTTCCTTGGTGTCACTGAGGTGGTGCCTGTTTAGCAAGGGAAGGAAAAGGAGTAGGGAGGGGTTTGCGGTTGAGAAAATCCCACCCTGGGAGGAGGCCGTGACGGTGACCTGAGGCCTCTGAGGTTGACCCCAGTGACTGCTGCGGCGAGGGGACGTCAGGGACCCGGTTAGAGTGGACTGAAACACTGACAAGCCCTCCAAACTTACCGGAGGTCCGGGAGGCCCCTCTGGCCCTGGGGGCCCAGGAACCTAGAATCCAAAGGGAGATGGTTAGCCCACTGCCTGTTACGCTCCAAGCGGCCTCTCCTTCTGACATGGCTCAGGGTCCAGCTGGGGACTGACTGCAAAGCCAGAGGAAGACAGAACTGCCCAGCATGTTGTCTCCCAAAAGAAGGCTTAGAACAGGGCAGAAACTCACAGCAATTGATTAACCTGTACAATATTTAAAAAAAAAACAAAAAACAAAACAACAACCCAAACATTGCCAGGAAATGCTGTCGAAACGTCTAGACTTCCAGATTTTCTTGAAAAAAAAAAAAAAAGAGAGAGAAAGAAAGAAAAAAAAACCATCCGGCAGCACTAAGACTCTTGTTCATGCATGGCAACAATTGTCTAGAGCTGAATAAGAGGTTTCCCCTCTGGGGCATGAGATCTTCCAACGACCCCAGTCCCCACCATCCCCTATTGTCTTTGACCTCGACCTTTACCTTCATTTGTTGCATGCCTGGTCCTTGCAGGCATTTGAATTTGAGATCTTTGGCTTCAAGGAGCAGAGATGGGTTATGTGGAATGGGGGGGCCGCTGAGCAGTTTTGGAAAAATGTCCCTCAAGTCTCCTCGGGTCTGTAAGAGAGACCGCTGGTCTCTGCTTCCCTTGAAGGCACAGTGAAGTAGAACAGATTCACACTGGGCAGGGAAGGGGGAGGGACCCAGGGGGTCTCTCTCTCTCTCTCTGTGGAGGATGCTGTTCATTGCAGATTCTGTTTCTGATCAGAATGGACATCCATTTGCCCACAGTCAGTCACCCAGGAGGCAAGGGGAAGTCCTGCCTGCTCCTTTCTGAGCTGCTCACCCCATTTCAACTTTGAAGCTCTTCTCGCCTTCCCAGGGTTAGAATCCCACGGAGTGTGGCCGGGGTGTGACCTCTCTGCCAGGCCATCGGAGAGGAGCTCCCTACACCGGGCAGAACTGGTACCTCTAATGTCTCTTGGGTCTGTGGACTTCTCGGCTCAACCTCTGGAAACTCGATTTTCTTTTGTGAAAAAGTTTACTGCTTTTTTTCTTATTATAAATAAGTAGTTCACGTATCCTGATTGTGGTCGGAGCTACCCAAACCTATGTATTGAATAAAATTCACGAACTATACAGACGTCGATTTTACCGTATGATAATTTGGAAAATAAAATAATTAATAACAGACCCATTAAAATCCTTTGTAAATTACAAGGGATTGAAAGAACGAAAAAGAATAAACATCTGAATACTAATATTTTGCCTTATTTCCTTCCACGCTTTTTTGATGCGGCGTAAAATGTATTTGAATACGTCCGTACTTAATGATGATTATCATTAATTATATATATATGATTATATATATGATACATATACATGATATATATATATATTTATGATGATTATCATAAATATATATATATATATATAATTTGATTCTCTGCTGGTT